TCATATAGTCAACCCAGGACACTCACCCACACCTGGCACTCATTCTGATCTGTGGTCCTTCCTCTGAGACCCACACACACAGCTTGGCTGGTGGCTTAAATGAAGCAATTTCCATTAACATGAACACCCACAGAACTGTTGTGCCCCACCAACTTAAGGCAGACGGGTATCTGCACACCTGCAGGTGCCCAGAGACATTTCTACACTGGAAACTGACCTTGGCTTTGGGTTTGATACTAGTTGTACCCAAGTATCTGACATGGGACTCCAAGGAGGGACCCTCTGGAATCACAGCTCTACTCCAGCAAGCTCCCCTAGCCCTGACACAGTTCAAGACCGCAGCTAGCAGCTCCGACAGCTGACCAGAAACAGGATAAAAGCTTTCCACTGAATGAAATAAAGAAGCCAAAGACTTGAATCTTTACCTTTTTTAATCAAAAACATACTCTGTAACAGAATTTCAGGAAAGTTAACTACAGTATATTATCCACAAACTAGGTTGAATGAAAAACATACAGTAAGCTACAAAGGAACTACTGGGAATTCTGTTGACCGCTTATCAAAAGGCAATGGCTGAAAGAAGAAATGCTTAACTAGGCTTTCATGCTCAAAAAACCCCTCTCACAGCAGGTTTTGGATTGTGGGTACGTCGCAGCTCTCAATCCAGCTGAATCACTTTGTCCTGTTACAAAACTTCACCAGAAAGACACAGAAAAAGGTACAGGAGCAAGAAAGTGCTATGTGGTTTTGGTGAACTTATACAAGTCCTGCAAATTTAGGAGCGATGTATCACCCAAAAGGCACAACAGCAGCCAACAGTGTCAAAACCTCTTGAGATATTGTTGACAGTAGTTCTGCTTTCACAAGGTCCCACCAAGTGAAACTTTCACATTGCTGAAAAGTCAAGTCAGTTCTTGGGGACATCAGCAGCATCATGTGCAGCAGCTTTGAGTCAGCATGGTCACACACCTTAGAAAATTTTCAGAAACACACAATCAATAAGAGTGTTTTGAAAGTGAATGACACAATAAAAAGAGATGTTCAGCATCCAGCTCCTAGGGCTGGTGGAGAAGCACTTTCCATTTTTGTTTCCTTGTCCAGAACCAAAGTGCATTAGAGGTTAGAAGCATGAGCACAAAGCTGGTTCACACACATGCCTATGACAGGCAACTTGCAAATCTCAGTCCCAAGAACAATGCCATGGTCCTCAAAAACCTAATACCAGTCATGGAAATACTGTTGTTATCAGCAGGACCAGGCAAGACCATAGCTTTTAAAGTCTTTCAAAAACCAAAAGAATGTAACCTCTCCAAAACTGCATCCTTAAAAATACCTGACAACTAAGCATCTTACAATTTTATAGAGCAGATGTTAATTAGCATGGGGCCTGAGAGGAGGGGGGGGGGGAGGAAAGAGGATTTCTTAAATGAAGTCTGAATCTCACTTAGATGAAGATCCACGTGGCTGTCTTTAACTGGTTGCATTAAAGTGACCAGCAAACCCAGTCACTCTGTATAACAGAGTAAAAATGCAAATTGAGGAGACAGTCCTTTCTAAAGCACTTATTCTTCAAAGAAGAGATTAAAGATGCCTCAATAAAGACCACTATCAAGACATAACATTTGAAGGGTTTACAGGCAGAAGGCCCTCGTATATACACTGGTATATGAATTTTGTAATGGTTCCTAGTAAAAGAACAGAGGCAGTTGTTCCTGAGCCACACAGAGACAATGCTTGTTGGGAACTCCCCATGTGTGGAGACACGAGGCTTGACTCCATTTTTCTCAGAAGGCTGGTTTATTATATTATGATATATATTATATTAAAATACTACATTAAAACTATACTAAAAGAACAGAGAGAAAAAGATCATCAGAAGGCTTGAAAGAACAAGAATAGAATAGAACGCATAACAAAATCTTGTGACTCTCAGAGTCCGATGCAGCTGCATCTGTGATTGGCTTTTAATTAGAAACAACCAACATGCACCAATCACAGATGCACCTGTTGCATTCCACAGCAGCAGATAGTTATTGTTTACATTTCTTTCCTGAGGCTCTCCGCTCTTCAGGAGGGGAAAAATCCTAGCAAAGGATTTTCCATAAAATATCATAGCTACAAATGCTGTCATCAGAAGTGTTACAAGATGGTCTCAAAGGTAAGGCACAGGAGTTGGACACAGGTTCGATGAGTACTGCTGCTACAGACCTGTTTGGTGACTGAGGGAGACCATTGTCTTGTTTGCAGTGTAGGTCCCTCCCTAGAAAGCAGAAGGGTACTTCCCAGGTCTTCAGTAGGCCAGAGCTGTAAATGAAGTGGTTTATATCACAGCCAGTGGCTCCAGGTCTCTGAGCATATCATTCTCATCAAGCCCAGAAAAGTGATGAAAGGAACAACCACTTTCAACCACCACTGTTTAGCGGTTATGGCTCCTTTCAAGGGATTCCTGTAGAATTAAGTATTTTTAAACCATTCCAGAGAAAAGGTTTTCTCTCCTACATCTCTACCATGTTAACCTTAAATGCCCTCGCTTGCAAAACTAACAGTAACACAGATAAAGCAATCTAAACCTTCTGGTGTTAATCCCAGCTCACCAGTACATGAAGTGAAATTACATAGTATTCCAGCACAATGTGGTTTTTGAGGAGCACATAATCAAGGGTGAGAAACACAGAGGTAATTACTTCATTGAAAGAACTAAGCAGAGCAGACATGGGAACAGGACTGCAAGCAGGAGATTGCTAGCTGAAAAAATACTTCTTGAATTTGAAACATTCAGAGCTGAAGGAGACACAATTTTGGCATCCTTGACATTCCTGCCTGCTGCATGTATAGGGGTCATCATGGCTATCAAGTAGCTGTAGCTCTTGTTCAACTCTCAGAAAAAGACAAATGCAAGACTCAAAGATTCAGTGTGCAGCCACTGAAGGGTTTCTAATCCATTATGCACTACCTTTTATGCCTTGTCATAAAAGTACAAAAAATTAAGTTAAATGCATATTAAGAAATAAGAATGAGATTCTCTCATTTTGACCTTTAACACTTACAACAGCATCAGAAACTGCCTGGTGGAGAAGATGAATGCCTTTTCAGTATTTGTACTGCCTCACACAATGCTCAGATTTCTCCTGATGTGGAGCCTGCAATTTCTTGTTTTTGATAAACTCATCTGACATTATTTTGTTATTCTATTCCAAACATTTTGGGCCATCTAAATACTACACTGCAGGTGCAGACTTTAGGAGACTTGCAAAACATCTGCCAAGAAAACTAATCTTAAAAGTTGAATTCTTTCAGACCATAGTACAGGCCAATACACCAACAGGTGGACGCAATCTTTCACTATTTTATCAAAGTTTGGCACAATCAAAGCAGAAGAAACTGGTACAGAAAGTTGTCTGTGAAGCAGCCATATACAGATCAGTCATCCATCAAGAAAAACACCTTGCAAAGCCACAAAGTTAAATAGGGAGTAAGCTCATGGACTCCTAATCAAACGAACAGCCTGTTATAAACAATTCATCAGGCAGAAAGTTACATACTTTCCAAACACTGAGGGACCTTGAACCCAGCAGTAAGTGCAGGGCAGATAATCTAATAGGGAGGCTGGCAAGAAAAACATGTAGTCAGGCTTTTAATTTCTTCCCCCAAATCAAGGTTTCTGTTGCGGATGAAGTGTAACCAAGCTGCCGGTTAAAAAGCTTCTCTGAGGATGTGGTCTGAATCCTCTACTGAGAGTGTTCCTCAAGACTGTGAAGCAGCTTGCTTTGCAGACAAAATAGATCACTTGGGAGAGAAAGAAAAATGAAAAAGATTTTAAACTAAAGCCTGTGAGGAAAGCAAACACTATTTTCCCACACATCAAGAAGTTGCCACATAAGTCAAAAGAAAAAGTGATCTCATTAGAAGTTAGTCTGAAGAAGACAGCACTGTTAGTGAAAATACAGAGAAAATGGATCAATTTCTGGCCATTACTCCCAGATCATCTGTCTTCTGTACTTCCACACCTAAGAGAAACAATGACTGCTGACTTCATAAGAATTCCAGCATATGGGAGAAGCAATAACTAAACACTGTGTCACAGTCCTCTACAGATTCCTGAAACTATGCAAGAAACTTGTCCAAAAGCTTTTGAATAATCTTTTCCAAGACTTCTACTCCTGTTAACCACTCCAGCTGTGCTGCCAGGTCAGCTCAGCACAGCAGGCAGACCGAACCTGCAGCACTTGAAGGACTTCAGTGTATGTCCTTCTAAGCCTGTTTAATTAAGCTCCAACTCCCTACACACATGCTAAAAAAGAAGGAATTCCTGCTCTTTTCTCCATACCCCAAACGGTCACAAAGATATATCCTCAGGACACGCTTTTATTGCGAAGCAGTGGAAGTAAGAAAAATTGGACTTGTTCCTGGCAAATTTAAACTAACAAAAATTCCTATCACTATTGGCTGCTGCAGGTTTTGCAAAGGAAAGGAATCCATCGCTCAAGATCAATGGTTTCAAGATGCAGAATTACATTATATAAGCAAACTAAATTTACAAAAATCAGGCTTTTCATAATTTAATTTATACTATTGGCTAGAGAGAAAGCATACACATTGTATCTGTCATACAGACAATACATTTGTAGGTTTTTTTACTATAAATTCTCTATATAAAGTCATTGCCAATTGATACGGTCATTGATGGCATAGGGCTTAAAATAACCAAGAAGTATAAAAAACAAGTTTGCCATCTTGCCCTGAGTGGAAATGGTGAACAGATACAAAAACTGAATCCTAAATATTGATGCAATATTATGCATGATGTAATGGTATATGCAAGTAAAAAGAGTCATGCAACTTCTTTAAATACCTGCCAAATTTTAGTTGAGTAAAATCATAAAAGTCAGTAGTAATTATGAAAATATGTTCCTTCCATTAGGTGCTTGTTATGCAATTTCAGTGGCAACTTTGCAGACTAGGTATTTCATGTTATTTGAGTGTCAGCACTGAAAGTATCCATTTCCTTTAGTGTTTTAAAACTCACCTGTCTATATAAATAAAAATCTAAGATATCTTTTTTAAAAAACTAGTGAAGGAAAAGCCACATTTCTTTTCCTTGCTATTTTTAATCAGTGCCAACAACATATGTCTCATCCCCTCACTTTTTGGCAGCCTCTACATTTTAATCTGGAAAAATCATAACATGATTGTCAAAAAAATAAAGAAGTCTTCTGTTAACTATTGTTCCCTAAAAAGAACATCACAAATCAGCTGGAACTTTAAAGTTGCTACAAGGTAAATGTTTGTAACTAGTAGAAGGAATTTTCAGATATAAATATATATATAATATATATTCTGCATACAAAAGGCTCCTGTGAGACTTATCACCAAGATGCCATAATAGAGAAGGAAAGTTTCAAAGGGAACAAACCCAATACTATAAAGTCTCTATAAGGCGTTTACCTTTCACCGTAAGCCCTGTATTATGACAAGTTCTGAAAATAACTGAAATTCAAATTCTGCATGTTTAATTTCTTTCTGCTTAGAGCAAGATGGCAAACACATTTTTAAAACCTGGGTTTAGAAGATTAAGTAGAACAAAAGTAAATTATATCTTCAGGTTATAAACAGTACTGTATTTTACAATCCATCATCCTCACAATATAATGGCCTGTAGCAGTGCAGCAGAGGGATCTCAGTCTAAAGGCTGTGGGTCTGCAATAGGCATGGTATGAAGTACTTCATCTAGAAGCTGGAGGGCACGGTGTAAGTGAATTTCAATCCAGCACGGTGTCTCTTTGATGCTCTGCCTTGGATAATCAGGTCCCCAACCTTTTACAAAACTCATCCTGAGTATGCATAAGCGTCGAAGGTCATCTACACCAATTCCAGCAGCAGCTGACAAACCTAAATAGAAGTTTCAAGTAAGTGTTCAGACATGTTCTTTTACCATGTTTGTTTAGCCATTCCCATTTGCTTGGCTTTTGCTTCACATACAATTTCCTCTCACCACAGCCAAGGCCAGTCCATATTTCTAGATCTCTGCTATAATGAATGCAGCAATTAATTTGCGTTTTTTACAATTAATTTTTTTTTCATCATTCTGCAATCTTGGAAGGGTGTTGAAATAGAAAACTCTATAATAAAGCAGATAGAATGACACCCAATGTCTTACGTGATACAATACACGTAACCTTTATGTAGATGTAAAAATACACTTATTCTTGATGTTTGCCAAATGCTGCATTTTCAGCATAGGAAATCAGACTGACCACCTGCAGGAAGCTGGATTAACAAACAACACTACTTACATGTAATAAAAAGATGAATACTGCTGGCAAACTTCAAATCGCCAAGTATGGCTAAGACAAAAGTTAAAGACATTTCCCCAAGATGCCTTCAGCAATTTGTAAGATAGCTGGAAAGAGCCATGTAGCAATACAAGGAATACAGAAAACACTATGGCACATAAAGCAGCCTGAGACATGTAAGTACTTCCACTTTTAAAAGTACTTAGGTACAATTTCAAGCATCTAGAATTTAGTAACTAAGAAAACTCTAGCCCAGAATAACTTTAAAAAAAAAACCAAAAAAACCACCAAACAAAAACAACCCAACCACAAAAAACCCCATCCTCACACTCTCTTCTTCCTCTTCTCAAGGGTCTTGTCTTCCTAAACATAGTCAAGGACTTTGTTGCCAAGTAATCCCTGTTGTTGTGAGTAATATTTGTATGAGTTTGGATCCAAGCAGCCAAAAGTATCTCTGTTTAAAGTAATGGAGTGATGCTATTTGACCTTGTATATAACATGCTTTCTGTCATACTGCAACACTTCTTGCAGTACAATAAGCAGCCACTTCCATATCCAATATTCCCTGAAGACTACAGAGTGAAAAATGATGCGTGGAACGGGTACAAAGTGAATTAATACAGACTTACCAAAATGCCATCCCAGCCTCACCTTACCCCAATCCTGCTATTTTATTCCAAGTCTGTCTGTACTGTTGCAGGGGCAGTGGGTGGGTGCTGTTATGAGGGAAAGCTGTGTTATTTGTTTTCAGGTAAGGAAAAAAGGAAACCAAGAAGTTAATGCACTTACTAATGGCTGGGGCTATTCCACCTACTGATCCTGGTCCGGGGATGTTTCCTGCTACTGCTGCAGCTTGAGCAGCAGCAGCAGCTTGGGCCGTGGCAGCCTGCTGTTGCATCTGACGATGACACTGGCGTAAATCAAACACCTTTAAAAAAATAAAATTATTGAACTATTAGACTTACCAAAAGCAATAAAGAAAATAATTTCTCAACTCCCAGCCCCAATAATCTGGACCTCTCTACTCTCTCAAAACAACTTGTACAATCTCTCCATACACATGGGTAAAAGCAAACCTTCCCTGACTAGTTTAATTTCTAACAGAAATAATCCATTAAAGCTGATTCTTAGAGACTCTTCTTATATGCCATTACTGCCACTGGCACTACCAGAACTTGGCTGAACTGAGCAGGCTACAGAAGTATCATGTGTGGGACTGACTGCAAGATCAAAGTGTGAAGGATAATACAGAGTGATAAAATCCTAACTTTTAAATCCCAGTATTTCCAGAAAATAGGCATATAAATAAAAATGGATGCCAACAAGTCCATCTTAACTTTGTCAGACTTTATTCTTCATTGTTTTACTGAAATGTGTCAGTCTATTTAAAAAAAATACTAATAATTGAAAGGTCTGAAGTTTCAGCAGCTAGGTTTCGGGTTGGTGGTATTTTATATCTTTGTGATCAGGTTTAGCACTAATATATATATACAGGAACTCTGTTCTCATACTAGAAAGCTTGTAAAAAAAATCAATGTAAACTTCAAGCAGTTTAATTAAAAATGTATTTTTACAAGTGTGACTTGTCCTTAATAAAGTTTCAAGTCTGGCAGAGGCACATCTAAGTAAGAACATCCTCAAAATAATTTGTTTCCATGCAATGTTCTGTGACCTCTGGATCACTTCATGTTCATAATACTAACATGCACTTTAACACGCACTTCTACTGCATTCATACATAATTTCCCAACTTTTCCTGTTTTGGAGAGAGAAAGTAAAGAAACAGATAACCTATGCTAAAAATTTTAGTAGCAATTAATTTAAACCTGTAAGGCTAAAAATACAAAAAACTGCTATCGAGATTGCTTGTGACAAAATACAAAATTAGTTACTTTCATAGTATCTAGATGACACTTTCAGTTTAGTCAATTTTAAAAGTCATCTTAAGTGACTTGTCAAATGGAAATTTTTTGGGTTTTTCAAAGCCAAGTTATATTTATTTTAGTCTCTCATAGCTTCTCTAACATTTACAAGACTCAGATACATGCTATTTCCCCTACAATTTTCATCTAGGAACATAAAACCAACCTTTATATATGCACTTGGGTAAATCTTGTGAACTGCATCCCCTGGTGCACGCCCTGCTTCTCTATCCAGGTAGTAACTCTGAACGAAGACTGCATGGTCACTGAGGCATCTAACCCACACATCACCTTCTCCTTTGCACTCCAACTGCACCCCTTTACCTATGTGCAACCTTAAAAAGAAAAACAGATCCAATGCGTCTGTGTATACATACTATAAATCAGACCTTTCCTAAATAAAACATAAACAGTTCTCCAGCACTCTGCTCATACAAGGACTTGAAATTGTAGTTATTATCTTAGGTGTAAAGTTAGCATTTGTTATGCAAAATCTGTAAACTAAAAAAAAAAAACAAACAAAAAAAAAAAAACTAAAAAAAAAAAATCTGTAATACCATGTAAAGATCTATGGGAAACAGAATGCAGAAGCAATGATATTTGAGTTGCAACTACCTCAGTCATTAACAATACAAAGTTGGGATACCAAACACACTCAGTTCTGAAGTGCAAAATCCCACAAGTATTCTAGAATAGAAAGTCAATCAAGTACATATACAAAGCCACATTTCAACGCAGAACTGTATGTTTGTTTGGATCACATTATAGCAATCTAGCATTTTGATTGTCACAATGCAACATTTCTGAAGACATGGAATAATTTTCTTCCTTTTTGTTTCAAAGGAGTGGAACAAAAATTGAAAAACTGCTTCAGTTCCACATCAAAGCATAGCATGTGCATGGTGAAAATGAATGAAAATCCAACTAGCTCTCTATAAACCTTCCTTTGCTCCTTTGACAAATCTATATATTGCAGTTATTCTCACATCACTGTCTAGTAGTGTGAAGAACTAATATTCAGTTTGCATATATAATGGCACGAGTTGCTAATTTTATCCTTGAAGGTACAGCCTTTGAAAGCAATGAAAAGCAACATGCTACTACTGCAAAGCTCTGAAGGGCTTTGTCACACAGTTCACATTTTGAATGTATTACAGGAGCAGCCTAGAAAAAATTACTCTGGTATAGTTAATTCAGTTCAAAGAAACATACCATACTTGTGATTTCAAAAGAGAGGCACACACTGAAGGCAAACCAAAATATTTTCAAATACCACAGACATCTGGAGATTTTGAGATCTGCAGAATACCTTGCCCTCTCAATGGCTTCTGTTCTATGCACGTTGGAAAGCTGGCCCAGGCAAAAACGGTCTCCTCCAGAAGGATCCACATATCCATCAACAGTAACAATTGGACAGCTTGAAGGGACCTTAAATGTTTCCCCGACTTGCACATCCATTTCAAAATATGCGATTGAGCACCAATATTCTGGAGCTAAAGAATATACACAATTAACTGACTAAAAGGCACAAAAAAACCCAACAAACCCATTCAGACAATCAATCAAGCCTTCTGCAACTGCAATTGCCATTCAGACTAAGAGTGCACATTCATATAAGGAAGTTCAGATAGACAAAGACACATCTACTAGCACAGAAAATTGCGACATACTACAGCAAACATGGGCTTATCTTTTTTATTAAAGCGCACATCAATGTATAGAAGCCTGGGCAGTAAGAAGTTAATGCACTGCTATGCCTCAAACACAGATGACCATTCAAGCAGGCAAGTTAGAACATGATGTGCCTGGAAAGGGGGGCCTTATGAAGGTATGACAGCACCTTTCTGGAGCAAATTTTCCTGTTCAGGTCCATGGTGACAATACAACATACAGCGGAAGCTCAGAAGTGGGATCAAGGAGCAGGCAAGACCAACAGAGGGGAATAGAGACCACCAAAGGAACTTCAAATCCACCCAACCCATTTCCAGAAAGGTCCAGAAGAACAGACTGCACATGCTAACTCACTCACATGAAGAGGGAGGAACTTAATCCCAGGGCAGGGAAAAATTACCTATAAGAAGGTACTCCCACAGAGCCTAGGTGGCATCCCCAGGACTCCCTGTCATCTGTATTGATGCCGGACCCAGGACTGGTGATCCCCTTTCCTCTCTTTCTGATCTCCCTTTCATTTTTCTATTTTTCCCCTCTTTATTTTTATTCTATTATTATTAGCATCATCATCATCATTAAGGGGAAAAATATATACAAATTTCCGTGCAGAGTACATAGTTTACTAATAAAACTTTGTGAGGGTTTTTTTGGACCCTTTTGGTTTTTGCCATTCTTTTCTGACCACAGGCATCTACAAACCTTGAGTGCTCCTTTCCGTGCAGGGGTGGGACACAACACAATGTTAGGTTTTTTTGTAGATCTTACAAATCTTTCTACACTTTATAATTCCAGTAAGATTTTGTAAGCCATCTGCATTCCTGCACTTTATGACTATAGCTTTAGCATAAAGAAGTAATATATATATGCCTATTCATGGCTAGGCTAGCAGAAACTAACTTTGAAACAGATCTGGCTTAAGATAGGAGTAATTACCTCCTATCCTAACTGAAGTCAGTTTTCTCTATCCTCCCTGCAAAGCAAACCAGATTTGCAAAGCAGAGCAATGGGAGAAAAAGCAAAGAAGCAAAGATCACATAGTGACCTTGTCTGCACACAGTCAGATACAGGCTAAAACAAGGAAGTATTAAGCAAGGGAGCAGAACAAAATGGCATGTTTTAATAGCCAAGTGGTGCTTTTTAACTCCTACTATTTAAAAAATTGGCTACGAAAGAAAGATGGTAGTTGGAAGGAGCTACTATGTCTACCTGGACTTCAGCAAGGCCTTTGACACTGTCTCCCACAGCATACTCCTGGAAAAGCTGGCAGCCCATGGCTTGGGCAGGTACACTCCTCGCTGGGTTAAAAACTGGCTGGATGGCTGAGCCATAAGCATGGTGGTAAATTGTGCCACATTCACTTGGCAGCCAGTGACTAGTGGGGGTCCCCAGGGCTCAGTATTGGGGCCAGCCCTGTTGAATATCTTTATTGATGATCTGGAAGAGGGGATCGAGTGCACCCTCAGTAAGTTCACAGACAACACGAAGTTGGGTGGGAGTGTTGATCTGCTGGAGGGTAGGAAGGCTCTGCATAGGGATCTGGACAGGCTGGATCAATGGGCCAAGGCCAACGGTATGAGGTTCAATATGGCCAAGTGCTGGGTGGGTCCTGCACTTCAGTTACAATAACCCCATGCAGTACTACAGGCTTGAAGAAGAGTAGAGTGGTTGGAAAGCTGTCTGACAGAAAAGGACCTTGGGGTGTTGGTTGATAGCTAACTGAACATGAGCCAGCAATGTGCCCATGTGGCCAAGAAGGCCAATGGCATCCTGGCCAGTATCAGGAATAGTTTGGGCAGTAGGACCAGGGAGGTAATTGTCCGTCTGTACTCAGAACTGGTAAGGACACACCTCAAATCCTGTGTCCAGTTCTGGGCCCCTCACTGCAAGAAAGATATTGAGGTGCTGGAGCATGTCCAGAGAAGGGCAACAGAGCTGGTGAAGTTTAGCCTGGAGAGAAGAAGGCTCAGGGGAGACCTCGCTCTCTACAACTACCTGAAAGGAGGTTTTAGACAGGTGGGGGTCTGTGGAAGGGGCTAACAGCGGGCCTGTTAGCTAAAGGAGTGAGAAGAAGCTAAGAAGAAAGAAGAAGCTGATAAGGAGCTCTCTCCAAGGCTGTAACCAAGGAGACCAAGAGAACTGAGGAACTGAAGAAAGATAAGAAGAGAACTTCACAGCTGCACAAAGTATTTTTAGAAAGTTAGTTAAGTCACTGTAACTTTTCACCAATGGTGTTATGTTGTTTTATTGTGTCCAATAGTTAGGGTAGAAGAAGCATAAACAATCAGAAAGTGTATAAAAGGTCAGCCATGTTCGATAATAAAGAGTTGCCATCTGAGACTGCTTGTGGTCTCTGCTTCGTGTCATGACCGCCTCGACAGCGACAGGGGTCAGTCTCTTCTCCCAAATAACAGGTGATAGGACAAGAGGAAATTGCCTCAAGTTGTGCCGAGGGAGGTTTAGATTGGATATTAGGAAAAATTTTTTCACTGAAAGGGTAGTTAAGCATTGGAATGGGACATCCAGGGAGGTGGTGGAGGAGTCACAATCCCTGAAAGCATTCAAGAAATGACTGGACATACTTAGTGCAGTAGGACCTAAACACAACAGCCTGATAAGCCAACAGGAAGAAGAGTTCTTCCTGTGCTGCAAGTGGTACTCATTCATTATAAACAGTAACACCCAACAGTACACCTATTTGCCTCAAGAAACTGTTCTGGTTTTATTAGAAAACAATAAACAAAGGTGCCTAAATTACTTTAGTGTTTTTTAACCTTCAAATAAATACTCATGTCTCTGAGAAAACAATAGGATGAAATCAATAGAGTGAAAGAGACATACTAAATAATGTGAAATAAAATTCAGCTACAGTTAAGTTTAGCTAGCAGTTATCAACATTTTTATTTCTGGTATGGATTTAGTCACTAGCCAATTAATAAACAAGTTAAACTTTTAGGCTTTTCAACTGTGCAGATCTCCCTATGCAGGCAACAGCCTTGCTGTTGTTAAAAACAGAATATCACCTTGTACCTACATGAGAGCTAGCCTGCACCACGAGACAAAATCTCCTTGGCTCCCTGAACTGTTACCAGTAATGAAGACTCTTGGAAAGAACAAGCTTTATGCAAAGATCCAATGAGGAACTTCAGCACCAAAATGCTAAGCAGCACAATAGCTATCTTTCAGGGCATCTGGCTGTAATGATGGACTAGATTATGGATCAAAGAGAACTTTAGCATGACCTAAACTCCATTATATTTCTAAGCAGGCAAAAAGTACAACTACAGGCACCTTGAAAAGTTTAGGATCAAGGACATTCAGAGTTCTGATACCTCCAGGGTAGGCACCATCTCAGTGTGGGCTTGAGCGTTGCAATCTTTGACTTAGGCATCTCAATTAAATTCAGTTCACAGCCTATGTCACCATTCCAAGAGATATCCAAATTCAAAACAAGACCTAATCACAAAATTCTTCCTCTTCTTTGGAATTTATATCTCTCAAATTTCAGAGTACTTGATACAAAAAAATAATCAAACTTAAACCACAAAGTTATAAGTTAGCATTACATGTTAGATTTTACTCACCAGGATGATTTGATATAGGAGGCTGGAATGCAAGTTCATTGTGAACTGGCCCTTTAAAAGAAAACATGCCATTTGTTTTACATGTGGAAAAATAATGTTTTCTTACTTAGCTTGTTTTCCAAATAAAAAAAGACTTGCGAGGATGCCTGATGTTATAAATCCCAGTAATTTCTGAATCAATTGGCCTAATCTGACGGGATAAAAACGCCCACAGAAAAATTACACTCTTAGAGGTTTCCTAAAAATTCAGAAGTTGAGTAAAGAGCTCCATTAGTATCCCAGAAGGAAAGGCTGCATGCTGCTCAAGCCAGACCTGGCTCCAGGAGAGAACAGAAATGAGATATAGCATTGAGATGTAAGAGAAATAGGACTTGACATCTGCCCCCAAGTTGTGCAAGGAGAGAATCAGTGTATAGAGGCAGGTGATACAAGTCTGTCAGAAACCACACTTCATTAGTTTCATCAATTACAAAACAAGTTGCCCAACATGCTGTGGACTTAACCATAAGAAACACTCACTGAAGATGGAAAGAAGCCCTAGAGAAATAATTTTCTAAGAAAAAAAATTACAATGAATATAGTCTTGGTATTAGTCAGTTTAGTCTCTTGACTTTTATGAATTAACTGGGTCCCTTACAGGCAGCAGAGAACAAGGAGGAAAAATTTAAACATAGTATTATAAGTAAGAGCAGCTTTTGCAACAAGATGTCAAAAGAAACACAACGCTGGTAGGTGTCAAAACATGTGACTTTCTGAAATGAGAGATGGCAGTAGCCAAGAAAAACTCTATGTAGTACCACCAGCCAGTTATAAATAATAACTATGGAAAGATACATGCACTGAAAAACATTTATAGAGTATCTACACCATCACTAAAGTTTTTTTACATCTTGGTATTTCTGACAAACTAAATGACAGATGAAGTGGGATTCTAACAGACCAAAATAATGAAACTTAGTAACTGTATCTAAACCACAATTTTCTCGATAGAGACAAGCTGAAAAGTCACTGTAATATTAGCTCACAGTTTATTCTCCCCTCTGTTAACCATGACTGCTGCAAACAGGTGATCTGGTTAAGTACTATATTAGAAGACCAAGAACTGTTCTAGCTTTTTGCCACAAAATTTAGAAAAACTTTAATTTGGGTGGGTTTTTCCCCACTACACTCTTATAATACATATACTGTGCTAGACACACTAGCAGTTTGATCACTTTTTTCCTCCCCATCTCCTGTACCTTAAAACAAGAGATTCAAGTTTGTGTGCCGAATGTACTCATGAATCAGGCTGTGGCAAGACCAGTTTATTGACAAGTACTTTACTGCATGAGCTTTCACAAGGTTCTTTTAAACTGGCTAGGATACATGGACACATCTTCCAAAGCTTAGTATGACTTTAAAATTTTCAGAAAATAAAAACAGCCAAGAACTTCCAAGTTTTGAAAGAAAAATATGCAAACAACACATTCTGAATTGACTTCCTTTTCAGCAAAGGAAATATTTAGTACAGGATTGCAAAGCCTTAAAAACAGGTTTAGAAAGGAAATGCTAGTTTTGTTAGGTATAGTAAGACATGTATAATATAGATGGTATCACTATAGCTATCTGAGTTTCTAATCTTTGCTGCTTTAACAGAGGAAAGTCCATCAGGCTTTTATACTTAACTGTCAGAAAATACTAAACACAGTAATGGTAGGTCTGTAATATTAAACAAAACAAAACAAAAAAAGTATTTGGGGGTAAACAGTAATCACAAATAAACCCCTACCATTCAACAAAATTGAAAATTAAGTGATCTGGAAATCTGCACTACTTACAGTAATGCCCAGGATGCATAGGTGGATGATGTTGAAGATGGCCATTCTGGTGGTGAGGTATGGTAGGTGTGTAGGCTGCTGTCCGACTTCCAGTCCAAGTTGTAGTACTATCTAGAAAAAGAAAGGAGTGGCTGGTTTTAAGAAGAGTTCAGCACTACTGGGTAGGAAAATATACCCAACTAGGAGCACTGCAATACACAGTTCCTACAAGTTTGGTTTCAGTATTTTTTTCCATCCAGTGTCTTAGGGAAACTTAAAGCAAGATGCTCTGCATCAACTAATTTTGTCTCTGACACCCTTGAAATGGAGTCAAGCCTCGTGTCTCCACACACGGATAATTCGTCGCAACACTTAATATTTTAAAGAGTAAAAGTATACAAAGAACCACGTTTATCAAGTGCATATTTGTTTTGTTCACATCTCATTTTTCAGTTTGAAAGGAAAGAAGAAGCGTCAGGTTTTACTGAATAACATAGCTGGAATAGATTTGGTGTGAATCCAAACAGGCCAGCAGCAGGTCCAATAAGTTGTTTATTTTCAGCATGTTATAACTACTGTTCCTAAGGAGAACTCATTTGTGTTCATCCAAAACATACTGAATGGTATTTTATTTGTAGAGATAGTTCTTGAATAGAGCTGCATACATAACTGGATTCCTTCCTGAGAAAGTTGCTGGGTTTTTTTCCTCCCAAGTATTTCAGGAATTATCTAAGCTTTAAAGTAAAACTACAGATATTTCAGAACAGGTTAACAGAATTTGATTTTAAAAGACTTCAGCTCAGCCATTAACACTGAACCGATCAGCAGTTTCACAAGTGCACTTGCACTCTCAAACTGATGTGGGCTAGCAGAATTTAATACATTGAGAACTTGAACTAAAACCTAAAAATGAGCCTTTTTTTCTTGTCCACTTGGCTCCAACAATTATAACACCGATGAGAAAAAGCTATTGACAATAAACTGTTGTGCAAAAGCAATACAATTAAACTGCCTATCCTTTTTTCTCTGCTGGAGACAAATACAGACACCACATCTCACCTTGGCAAAACCATCATTAGCTTTAACAAAAAAGTTGCCAGCTAAAATTCAAGACATTATAAAAACATAATTCCACCATAATTCAAATTTGATAACATTAAATCCATCATATTCACACATCTTTGATATTAAAGTGACAATGAGTATGTGAAATCCCTCCAACTTTGTGGTTTCCCTACATTAGGGCTGCAGGACGCTGCACACAATGCTTTACTGTCCTGCTGGAGTGAAATGTGAGGTTTGGTGTTGGCAAACCAGACTCTTCCACTTGTACCAAATACACACAAAAAACTTCAATTCAGCACTTCCACAGACTCATGAAAATATTAATTAGGGTTGTCACTTTGGTAGTACAGTGGGCCTTATAAAAATAATCAAGTTAAAACTGGAAGATACATTTTGTCAATTGTGGAACACTAAAGATTTGCCTTAAAACATCTTGATACTGCTACCTTACAGCATATCTGTTTATTATCCCATTTGCTGTTGTGACAAAATAATAAAATTCTTCCATTTCTACAACAATAATCAAATAATAGATATAATATTTTTGTTACTGGCCAATTGTTTTAACATTGTGTTACTGAACCTTTGGCGTATTCAAGAGTCTTGTAACAGTCATGTAGTGTCAGTCTCACTGAAAAAAGACTGGGCCACCAGGAAAAGTTACTCAAATTATGCTCCAAGGTAAACCCTTATGTTAATGCTTACGAGACTGCCTAGATCATATTGCTACACACTTTTACCAGCGTAATGCGGCAGCAGCACGGTTCCAATACAAGATCTACTTTGTCAAAAATCAGTGGTTATCTTTGAGCTTTCACATTTTCAGAGTTTAGTACTTCATATCATCTCATTCTTACTTGTTGAAGCCATAGGAATGTTGGGAAAATTAGTGGTGCTGGTAGTGCTAGCCTCAGTAGGAGCTAACATGGCTGGGGTACTATAAGGCTCTGTAGATGCCCTGTTACTTGGTGGATGCTGGATGGTTTGGACTGAATGGCCTTCAGCAGAAGACAATGATGGCTGCCCCTCATAGTCATGAACATATTCGTCTTTCACCAACATACTTGAAGGAGCTGTGAAGAAACAAACAGTTAAACATGCAAAGCAAATCTATTTTCAGGATTTAACTATAGATTGTGCTACTATATTCAAGCAATAACAATGCCATTAAAACTAGTGGGGGGAGAATTTAACCTATATAAACATTGTTAAAGCACTCCACTAAATTACAAATAAACACTTCAAGCCAGCAGCAAGAAATTTGAAGCATAACTGAATAGAAAAGCAAACTGTTTATTTTGCTTACTGCTATCAAACAAGCAGTTTAGTCCCACAATAGTAGACTCCAATAGCATTTTGTTTTCTAGTCCATCACTGTGTGATTGGACATGGCTAATAAAAGGGAAGAACATGCTTTTTGTCAAGCACCTAAATATATGTTAATGGAGTAGTTAACAAACCAATTCCTAGTATACAAATAAGAACATAAATAAAGCTCCTATGAAAAACAATTCATTAACACAGTACATAAAAACTTCATGCATCCCTTAAATAATTTTAAGCAACTCCCATACAAGTTAACTAGAAACATCACATTCACATTCAAAGACAATACACTGCTACTCCATATTTAATAATATAGCCACTAATTCAGAATATTCCACATACAGTGTAAGGAAATTACTACCATTGCCACTACAAGAATTTATTTCTATATATCCTATTGAGCATCTTTAAATAACACACTACATTAGCTCCCATGCTCATTTTTAAAGCAGACTTAAATATACTAAAATCTGACAGTAATTTTTTTGTTTCCTGCTGCAAAAACAGGTGCACGACACAAAAACATTTATGTATTTAACTGCTGGCTAGTAAGCTTTGATTCTGTATAAAAGGATCATTTTTCAGAAGACACGTAACAATTAGCAGAGGTGAGCAAACAAGCTAAAGCTTGTGAAGTTAACAGTTTGTTGGGTGAGTTGGGTTTTTTTTAAGTTGTCTTTGCTAAAAATATTAGGTAACCCAAATTTCTCTATGAATTTCTTCCTGAAGGAAAAAAAACTAGTTTTGAAATAAAGCAGTTACCAGCTGCACAGCCTCATAATTTCTGAATAATGTTCATTGGAGATTTAATGTCCAATTTCTCTCAAGTTTCAGACAGCAAGAATATTAGACTCCTTCATTCAATTGCATATTAATTACAGAACTTATACCAGTTTATTGCTAAACTACTTATTACATCATAAGCATCTATTATTCCCAATTCAATTAATTAGCATATCATACAGGTATGCACGGTTTTGGGTGTCTGGGTTTTTTTATTAATTAGCATCATTCAATGGTGAGAGTTTTGTTGTTTGGGGTTTTTTGTGGGACTTACAAGTTGTGAGCAATGAAAACAGAACATACTGACAAGCTCAGCTGAAGCCTTAAAGAATTTACCACACCTCTTATATGCTACTTAGCTGGTTTTTCCAAAACCAGAGAGAAAAATGCATTTTCATCTGCTCTCTATAATCTTTCCTAAGGAGATACAACGGAATAAACTGTGTACATACTGAAGAATTTAACACAGTTTGCACCCATAGAAATACAATAGTAAACAGAACTACTTACCAGAACTCTGTAGTGTCAGTCCCGAGAGATCTTTAAAAAGAAGAAAAAGAAAAGGGGTATAGAAAATTATATTCAGAGATCTTCAACAACTTTTGAACATTAAGTTTATCAACTTGACAAATTGGTACTACAGACTACATATTATATCCCCTCTGTCTCAATGCTAAATTATTCCTAGGATACACATTAACTGCAAGAACTGTGTGCAAAGACAACAGAAAGACTTAAACAAAAGCAACAAATTGTTCTTTTAAATTTGGAATAAAAGAATAATTCCATTAAGAAGATGGACAAGAGTATAGAGTAATTTATAATTACATCATTAAAGATTAATGTTTCTAATTTAGGCCTGTATTTTCTATACTCAAAAGGAAAACATTTTACATTTTATTCTCACTGTTCCATTTTAAATCAAGTCTACTTACCAATGCCAGGTGATACTACACGCTCATAATGGTAAGGATTTACACAGACACTGTCACATTTTAAGTCAAAAGCATACTGACAATATTTAACATGCTTGAGTTCATTTTTATGAAGATCAGGCCACCTCCAAAGACGAGCATAAATCACATGAGGGAATCCCTTGCGACCAGCCACCTAAAAAGTTAGACACAAGAGTTGATTGGGAAAGTAGCAACACATTTAATTTTACTTAGTGAGGAGCAAAGCTGGAAGAAGACAAACAACAACACAACCTTTCTCCATCATCAAAACATGGGGAAAAAAAATGGTGATGTACAGTTTACCCAAGTTCTGTACTCAACAGAAATAAATCTCTGTTACGGTTTTGCTATGGTTAAATCAACACTCTGATTCTTAAGAAAAAAATACTGGATACAAAATGGCAGAAGCAGAATTTGTGCTTAAGGTAGTATGTATGGTCACCTTCCCCACCATGGATGACTAAGGAGTTTTGCCCCAGAAGAGGAATGAGGTGCTGAGCTACACTATAAGGAATTTACAAGTAGAAGAATGCCATTCCATTATAATGAAAAAAAAAAATTTTTTTAAATGTTTCTAGGGTAGACAGAAAGCTAGCCAGCAAACATGACATCTGTCCTGGAACAAGGAAATTGCAACCCAGGCTATACAGGTACTGAGTACTGATGATATAAGGCTAACATAAATCCTCAGTGCAGACTCCTCAGAGTATCTTCTTAGAATAGGTCTGTCTTTATACTTCTGACCAACACAGAGCTAACAGAAGCTTGTAGTGAAAATACCAGGATAAACAGCTGAATTTGTTACATGACCCTGGTTTCTACTGCCACATACATACTCATTTAGAACAGCTGATCCAATGCCTTCTGCTCCTTTTGGAAAATAAACAAACAAACAACTACTGCAGCAGTCCAGAGCTCCAGCCATAAAACATGCCTACAAATGGGGGCAAGGGTGGATGCAAGAGAAGAGCTACTCTTCCTCAACACTCTAGGATCCTGTCACTCACTTTTGCTCCAGCTTCACTAGGAGGAAAACATCTGATTTTCACTTGTACTAACCTGAAGCCTCCCATCCAGCGTTCTCTGTATTGTAACACACTTGCTAGGATGAGCTCCATTTGTGGTTATAGCTGTAATCAAAGAATCCAATTCATCTTTTTTCTCCTTTAGCTTTTTAACTAAACTTTCAATTGCACGTTTTGCAAAAGTTTCACTCTCTCCACCTTGTCGATGGCACATCAAGCTGTGAACAATGCTCAGACAAGCATCATTACTTGTTGGTGTGTTAGTAATAGACATATTGTCCATTTGTCACAGCTTTTTCTTTCAGATCAAATGTCAGTTTTGGGGGCTGTTATGATTTTCAAGCTGATGAACAAGAGATGATCCAAGTTAAGTGTTAGATGTACTGTCTCTTGGTAAAACCTAGAAGGAAAAAATACATTAGATTTGTTTTTAACATTGCAAATCATGTTTCTAAGGAAGTCTGTGGCTTTGTGCTTCTTTTATTTTCAAGTGCAGGATATTAAAAGCACATGACAAAACTGCATTTCTTGTCCCATGATGGCTAAAACATGCTTAAGACACTGCTTGCACAGTTTTAGATATAAGATTTATTTTCCCCTAGTAACAATATTTAAATAAAGATTATAGTTTATATATATGTACACATAGTATGTACATATAGAAATGTATTAAATGAATCAGGAAAAGGAGAACAGCAACAATGATTTCCTAAGTTTTATACTGGCAGGATGAAAACAAGTGAAAATACTGGCTGGGAATCAAGTGGCACTGATTTAAACAAAATGTGAATAGTGAATAAGCATGAATAGACACCAGAATAATCTGTCATCTTCATTTAATAATTCTGTTCAAATAGTTCAACTATGTTCTGACCTCTGATCAATTCTATTTCTCTTTGCTAAAGGCAAAAATTGTACCTGGCCATTAGCATAATACACATTTATGTAAATTACTATTGTGTGTATCTTTAGATATGAAAACCTCAACTGGCATATTTGTCTTTTCTTGTTTGGATCAAGCTTCTTCTGGATCAAGACAAATCGATTGAAGTCACTAAAAAAGCACTTCAATTGTCTCAAACAGAACTGTCTTAATTACACTAAATATAAGCTCAAGATTAGCCATTAAACTCCATTTGTTAAGAACCTGCCATGGTTTCTAGTCATGAAGCCATTCTTCTCAAAGCCAGCAGACATGATCATTTTTAAGTTTCCTTTAATCCACAAATTATAGCTGGCCTGATTTTCTTGATTTTGAATGAGCCAATTGTTACACTTTATCTTGCTTTATCCAGAAACATAGGACAGCAGATTTTGTGCAGTTGCAGAAAAGGAGTCTAATGTTGTCAAAAAGCTGCTCTGGTTCTTCAAGCAGCTCTGGCTTCACTAACACCAGTCTATGAACTATGTGGTCTGGCTTTCTTAAGAAAGTGGCAGCAAATAAATATAAGTGATTTTACTACATTTACATTTTCCAAGTAAACTTAAAATATAAGCCTTTTTGAAACTACCATGCTGTTCTCAGCAATGTAAATAAAATATATGTGATTTCAATCGTTAAAGAAAAAAATGTTTGTTCTCATTATCTGAAGAACACATCCAGTCAAAGACTTGTTTCTGCACTGGAATTTTCCATGTTATTAGAGGCACCGAAGTAGCAGCTATTTATTGGAAACAAATGCATTGCACAAAAATAAGAGTGGGGTGTTAACTTATAAAGTTAATGTATCACACAAATTACAGTATTAACATGAGTTCCCTCCTTGTAAAAGGAATATTGCAACACAAATCCAGCACAATTATAAAAGGAAACAAACTCTTCCCCACTTTGTATTTTTTTCCTGATTTCAACTTGAATACATCACATTTTGTTTACTTGGGGAAAAAACACAGCGCAAATCCTCCCCCCCTCCATTTTCAATACTTTTCTTTTGTAAGGATGCTCCTGGACCTAACTTCTCCCAAAGGAAAACAATTACCTATAAGTTTGAGTAAGATCATTTTACCTAGCTATTAAAGTTTCTCCCTCAATACTAGCTTCTTTTAATGCTTCAAATCAATAAGCCTCTATTAAAAGTCAAGCTTAACCTGACATTCATTCTCCACAGCAACTCCAATTCATGTAAATCTCAAAGCTTACCAGCTAAAACAAAATAGAACATAATTTTCCTTAAATATAAAACAGCATCCCAGATAGATACACGTAAGTAATCACAAATAAGTGACTTGATAAAGCTACTAGCTAAAGGAGCTTTAAAGATGCTTAAAATTAGACATTGCAGCTCTTTTACATCCCTAAAACCATGAATGGAAATTTTGATGGCTGACTTTCAGAAAACTAAGATCAAGCAAATAAACCCTTATTTAAGTGTAATGATCTTCAGAAATGTTGAAGTCACCCCTCAACTGCCACTGCGCTCAGTAGGAGCATCTGATTCTTCAGCATTTTTGAAAGCCAGGCCAGTTTAAGATTTTGAATACTGTTAAACACTGCTGATGCATAATTGCACATTAATTCAGGAGCCTCCTTTTAGAAGTTACATCTACAGAAATCTTGCCTTTAATCTTGCAATTTTGATCCCCAAAAAGAGGGAGTGAGGTCAGTGGGTATCAATCTGGCACATATTGATAAGTGTCATGACATATTTCCTCTGAAGCATTAGTATATTTTGGAGACAAGCCAAGTTTTTATGTTTTACAAATGGACACTACAGTTCAAGCTTAGATTTACAGTTGAATACATATGGCCAAATATATTGAGCAAAGAAATTCTTAATTCCCTCTACCCAGGAATTTCATGGAAACTGAAACGGGTGAGAGAGTACTTTGGGAAAAACGAGGCAGAGAGAAAAGACAGGGAACATGAGAAAAACAGCAGCAGGAGACAGTGCTTGTAGTAAAGCTCTCAGCTTCATTCACCAAGGAAAAAAAAGGTATTTCTCTCCCTTTTGCTATAGTGTGATGCGAGCAGAACAGGGAAAAAAAGGGACAAGTAATATAAAATGCTAACAAGTTACAAAGTTATAGAGAAGTACTTGATTATGTTTGGATTCAAACTTAAATGTCTTTTCCAACCTTAACGATTCTATAATTCTATGTTATAGAAAGTAATTTATTTCAATAACTAAGTATTAACAGGTATATTATAAAACAAGTGAACAACAACTAGTGTTCTGCAATACTCTAAGTATTGGAACAAGAATAAGAGCCTCTGAATAAGTAAATCTGTAAGACAAAAGAAGTTCAGATTGCCAGGTAATTAAAAACACCCTTGATGATCTGTAACAAACACACTATTATCTCAGAGAATTGATAAGTAACCATTAACTGAAAGTCTTCCTTCAAGACTGATGCAAACTTGAACAAACACCATAATTCTTCCATACATCCTATATAGCCTGAAGACCTCACCTAAACTCCCATTAATGTGCCCTAGTGTGACCTTAAGCCACATTTTGCAATTTGAGAACAATCAACCCCCAACAAGAAAATGAAACAATATGCTTATGCAGACAAACCAAGCAGTTATGGAGCTGGAAATCAGGGATGTAACCCAAAGGAATATGATCCAGGCAATCAGTAATCCAACATCTTGGGCAAGACAGTTAATCCAGGCCTGACACCGATATGATAAACCCTACTGTAAACAAATAGGGTAGTGAACCTGCCACTGATACTCTGGAATGTGATTTACTAGCCATCCCAAACAGATTTCCAGCATTTTGATACTAGGCAGTAATGCGATGCTAACAAACTGGCAAATTAGAAAAGCATACAAACTGACATCTTGCTAGAACATTTCACATGAATAAAGGACAAGAAAGGCTCTTGTCTTCAAAATTAGACAAAGATGTCAGAAAATCAGCATATACATTTGATAGCTTTTAACCACTAAAACATTACTACAGTTTTGCTGTTTAATAATGCAGTAGTATAAGTTTTATGATAAAGAAAAATCCATAAACCAATAAAAAGGCAGTTTATGATTTGATGAAGATATGAATTCTTAAACTGCAGATACATTCCAGCATATTAGACTATTATCTACTTACCCAAAGGGTGAATAGGAACAAAGTGTTTGTAGACATAAGAACAATTAGCATTAAAGAGCAAGAGAGAGTACTAAGAAGGTACTACACACACTGTTCTGTACAGTAAGAGCCAACACTCCCCAGAATACTATTTTTGTGTGCATATCTGAATCATAAGTCTCAATTCTGCTCATCTCACTGTCAGTAGCTACAAAAATGTAAGACACATGACAGCATAAAAAGAACTGGAAGAGTTTTAAGACAACTGAGTGGCAACTCTTTCATCTTAACATAAATTCACAGTTAAAAAAAGTAGGAGCAACCATTTCTTTGTGGAAGAAACTGATCTGATGTAGCTACCAAGTGCAGCTCTCAGCATTTTTACTCCTCTCAGCTTCAACCTGTGTACTTCAACTGCTTTGAAAAGCACCTTACAAATGCAACAGACTGATCCTATAAACAGAGCAAACCTTTCTGCTGCACACAATTCCAGTTTTCTTAATCTTGTTCAAGAAACTAATACAACAGTAAAAACACATCCCAATCCCTATCTTGTTTTTGAATGCCTGGGGGGGCAGGACACGGTGAGCAAGGTAGAGCTACTATGCTGATGTGACTACATATACACACATTTTAAATCCTAGAAAGTTTCTTTTTTCATTTTGGTTTCACTCCCCTCTCCACATTTTTATTTTTGAGAAAGCATACAGCTGCAAACAATTCCTCTTTTAAATACAGACTTCTACATGGTCAGAGAAGGAAGACTACTGCACCTTACACCATGAGAGTGAGAAGGACAGTAAGCTCCTCTACAACTGGATCTATTTCCACAATACAGTTCTAGGCACCTCAAACTACCTCACTTGTGAGGGAGCACCCCTGGGCTCCCACTGAGCAAGAGGTCATCCCCTCCTCATCCTAGTACCTGGGGTTGAGGATAAAAACCCAGAAACGGCAGGAGAGACCACAGAGAGCAGAAGGTGGTGAAAATCCTTGCCATAGAATGACATGGCAAATCTGAACTCTTCCTCAGAGGATCCTGAAAGATTCCTCTTCTTGCAGAAGGCTTCCTTCACCAAGGGCAAATAGTAATTTGTCAAAAGCTCACAGAGAAAACAATTGTGGCTACACCAAGCAATAAAAGGAAGAATCAAACCTTGCTCAGGCAAAAGCAGTGTGATTTTTCACTTGTGTGTAATGTTTTGATACCCTAGAAATATGTGTATTAGACAACATCTTTATTGTAATCTGCACAGGGATAATGTTCTCTGCACTTGCTCAAACTTTAAAAAAAAATCACCTCCAGAAACATGGAAAATTCCAGCCTCAAACAAAAGATTTTTTCACAAGGTTAGCAACATTGAAGAGTCCTAAAATTCCAGCCAGACCTTAACAACAGCATAGCAAAGGCTGCTCCTCATCAGGATCCACAGATCTGCCCTTGGCACACCTTTGTTCTCCACTAAATCTGTTGATTCCTCTCAAAACTCACATCCCTACTGTGTTAGCTTTGACTGAATGCATTATGTAAAGAGCCATCTACCTAAAAAAGGAATTCTAATTAGAGACACTGCTTTTCTTTAAGCTTCAGCTTTTTAAAATAAAGTTTCTATATCAATATTAAACATGCCTACACAACAAGCAAATCAAAAGAGGTTAATGACTGCAAAGTGAGAAGAAACTCCTTCCAGTCACAATCAAACCAAGAAAAATAAGAAGAGGGCCAGAAGGACAAGTTGCCTACTTATCATGATGCTGGAGTACAAAAACACATTTAATTTTATAGGGCAGTATAGCTCTTTCAACAACCTTGCATGGAATTATCTACATTACTGAACAAAGTAACAACAGTGCAGGAGCCTGAATTCACTCTTGCCCGTTGACAGTGGCACACTATTATTAACCAAGATAATTTGAGAAGCGGTGGTAAAAAACACCATGATCCTACTCCAACCCTATGTGTTTGAGAAGAACTAGCTTGCAGTAGCACAATTTGGGTACTAAGTGATAACACACCTAACTCTCAACTAGATTACCCCACAAATTAACCCGTCTTCGTAGGTAAAACATATAAGGCTCAACTATGCAGCAAGTCGGAAGGAAGGAAGGAAGGAAGGAAGGAAGGAACTTAATTAATACCCCTTGTGCTGAGCAGTCCCATGCTGTCTGAAAATGAGCTAAAGGCACCGCTCTTTGTTACTGCAAATAAGATGGCAGATTTCAAAGAAGTAAACGAGAAGCGGCTCACATAAAACCACCTAGAGCGTTTTTCCAGCGTGCGGGAGAGAGGAGGATGAGAGCAGTCTGCACAAACGGCAGCGGAGGAAAGTTTAACTGGGAACAGGCCGGTTGGAGAGCTGCTGCCGGGATTTTAAAAAAAATAATATTAAAAGTTTGAAGGCGGGGCGATCAGGTTTCTTTGGTTTTTTTTTTCTCGTTCAGGAAAAGAGGGGGAGATGGGGAAGGAGCCAGGGAGGGGAAGCCAGAGAAGCGGGGCCGAGAAGCCCCCGGGCGAGGGGTAGGGGGAGCCGCTGTCTCGGCTCCCCGGAGCAGCGGCCGGCACGCCTCCAGCGCGGCGGGGCGGCCCGGCCCGGTCCTGCGGCAGTCTCGGCGGCGAGCGGTGGGAGAGGGCGTACTGCGGGCGGCTCCGGCGGGCAGGCGGACGAGAGGCGAGAGCGGATGTTACCTGGGCCGCGGGCGGCGGCGGAGCGGCCGCTCTCCGGGCGCGGCCTGCGGCTGGGGTGAGGCGTAGCGACGGCTGCGGGGATGAGCCTATTCTCGTCTTAGCCGGCCCCGGTGCGGCAGAGCGGGCCAAGCCTCCGTCCCCCCACCCTCAGGCCGGCGGTGCGGGGGAGGGGGAACCCAGGCGTCCAGTGACAACCGTCGTCACCGTCGCCTCGTCACCGCAGCTCCGGCCGCTCGCACTCTGCGGCCGCCTCCGACACGTCCGGACGCCGCTGCACATGCGCGACATCCGGGTAACGCTCTCCACCGCCGCCACAGCCAAGCACCTCCGCGCTCCCCTCGTCACACGCCACTATTACGCCTGCGCGTCCGTCGCCCCTCAATAGCCATACTGCCAGCAGCCGGAAACTGGGACGGGTGGGTACAGTCGGGGTTTAATTTTATGGTTGGCGTCCGGCGGTGGCGCATCGGGCGAGGCCGGCAGCGCTCCTGCAACTGCAGGCGCGGCCCCAAAAAGGAACAGGTCCAAAAATGGAAGCCCAACAAATGCGCAGGGCTGCGTTAGCAGCCCCCATAGATGTATGGCCATGGAAATACAACCCCCATAAGTGCAAAGCCCTACAAACACAACCCAAAGAAATGCACTGCACCACAAATCAGAATCCTAGACTGGTTTGGGCTGGAAGATATCTCAAAGCTCATATAGCTCCAATTCCCCCCTCCCATGGGCAGGGACACCTTCCAAAGACCAAGTTGCTCAAAGCCATTAAAGAAGAACTCTTAACAATGAAGCTAATTTAACAGCAATTGGTCTAACCGGTTTTAGCTCTGTAACCTTAAACAAAAATAGATAACTTTTTATTCATAACACCACCCTCACAGGAAAAAAAATTCTTCCAAATATCCAGTCTAAAGCTGCTCTCTGTCAGTGTTGGGTGGAAAGGGTTAAAAGTGGAAGAATGGTGAGGAGGAAGGTAGATTTGCTCAAGTGACCTTGTCCACTGCTGTTTACCCTCTGTTTTGAGAAGTAGAATTTCTGCTTAGAGACAATGTAGGTGTTTGGAGAGCCTTGGAGGCAGTCTCATGGACATTCTTGAGCTCCCTGTTTTGGGAGAGAGATCAAAGCTCAGAGATCATAAAAAGCACAGAGGACATCACAGAATGGTGCTAAACTATGCATGCGCAGTGTGAAAAACGCCAATCACTTATTTTTAAAATTTTAAAAAGTTTAATAGTAATAAAATGGTCTTCCTCTTAATCCTCATGCTGTCTTCTTATCTGAGCGAGGTGGGAAGAAGTTAGTTTTCTGCTGATAAGGGAGCAATAAATTCCCTTTCTCTGAAAGATTTAGGTGTCCTGTGGCAAGTTAGTTTTCTGCTGATAAGGGAGCAATAAATTCCCTTTCTCTGAAAGATTTAGGTGTCCTTTGGCTTCTATCTGGTGAGAGTCCTTTCTTAACCAAATATCTTACATAGCATAGTTTCTATTTTAACATTATGTTATAACCTAAAACTATATTTAATAGTTAATTTAATACTTAAGAAAATTAATACAGCATAACTTTCTAACATAACACATACAATATTCATTTTAATACTTGCGAAAAGCCAATCATAAAATACACATTTTTCACACTGCCTGAACAGTGACACTAGCTCCAAGGGAGGACGGGGAATTGCTTTGGAAAGTCTGAGGGACAAAAGGAGCAGGGAGCTTCGCAGAAGCTCTGGGGGAATTTGGGCATGCTGCTGCTTGGTGAAAAATTTTTCGGTGTTCTCTGCTCTCTCCAAAAACATACCACTACACTTTTCTATTTTGCATCACCTCACACAGCTAAAGCAAACTGTGCAAAGGAATTATTCTGAAATTGAGAAGATTTTTTTTTTTTTTTAACTAGAAGGCTACATCTTTATACCTTTGTGGTGTTGGGCCACCATTAGAATACAAACAGAAGGGAAAAGGTTCATGAAATACCATATCCACTACAAAACACAATATATTTTTGCTAAACATGTGGGGTGTTTGGCAATGTTCTGGTTGAAATACTAAGGCCTGAACAAGAGGCCCTGAGCCAAAGTAGACTGCCAAAGCCTACCAGAACCCAGGCTAGCTCTGTACACTCCAGTAGCCACGACAGGAGTGGGGAACAGCTGGGGACTCGGGTTTGCCCACAGCTGAACCTGAAGAGCTTCAAGCTCTACAGTGCACACTGTTACAGCCACGGCAGGGACCAGGTGAAGGAAGAAGGAGGAGGCTCTTTGTCTTGAGGTTCCACGGGGAAAGTTTATTCCAGGTGGACGGAGCAGGACAAAAGAGAACCCCCCACCCTCATATGCAGGGGGTTTTTGTTCAGATACAATCAGCTAACCAATAGGGAATCCTCAGGGGAGGAGTCAGGGGATTACATCAACACTGTGGGACCAATCAGGATAGGGGGAGGAGAGGGGAAAGGTCACATGGGCCAATGGGTTGTCGTGGGTTAGGGGAGTTCCAAGTGGGTATTTCAATCAGGGATTGGCCCAGGGGGTGAGTGGCAGGGAACATTCAGGAAAAAGGGGCAGGGTTGCCTTGACAGGCAGGGAAAGAGGGGTAGGGTTGCCTTGACAGGCAGGGTAGGAGGACAGGGTTGCCTTGACAGGAAGGGAAGGGAAGGGAAGGGACTAGAACAAAGGGAGGGGAATAGCTTGAGGGACAGCTTTAAGGGAGGGTACAACTTACGGAAAAACCAACTTGGGGAAAACGTGGGGGGATAACAGAATGAACTATTTAACAATAACTTAATGAACTAAACATGAACCACAACAGTAGACCTCTAGATGAACCTTCCAACCAAATGTTATATATATATATTCACTCAGCTAAGTATTGTTATGGTTGCCTTGACAGGCAGGGAAAGAGGGGTAGGGTTGCCTTGACAGGCAGGGTAGGAGGACAGGGTTGCCTTGACAGGAAGGGAAGGGAAGGGAAGGGACTAGAACAAAGGGAGGGGAATAGCTTGAGGGACAGCTTTAAGGGAGGGTACAACTTACGGAAAAACCAACTTGGGGAAAACGTGGGGGGATAACAGAATGAACTATTTAACAATAACTTAATGAACTAAACATGAACCACAACAGTAGACCTCTAGATGAACCTTCCAACCAAATGTTATATATATATATTCACTCAGCTAAGTATTGTTATGTGTGTTCATTTATTGGCAAAACATGTATTTACCTTTCCATAACTAGAAATGAGACAAGGCCACATCTGGCCTTGTTAGGGGGATGTAGGATCAAAGACAACTCCCTTAGTTCCTCCTTGAGCTCTGGCCAGGCTTTGTGAGAAAGCCAACAGGAGAATGAAACTAGAATCTATGTCAGCTTGTTTGTTTAACAGTATAAAAGCTGGGCTACTATCAGAGCAAAGTCAGGAAGCCTTGTGACATTCCTGCAAAGCTGGACGTACTGCAGAATTTCCCAGTTCCCGGGCATGGTTCTCCAGCCCTTTGCTGTGACAGCTTCCCTCAGCTGGTATTTAAAGGATGTCCGGATGAAGAGGTAAAGTATTAGGGTAACTGGTGTGTGGAGTTCGGCGGGAGAAATGCG